GTCATGGTAATACGGTTGCAGTTCTTTATTAGTATTTTTATGCTATATTATAGAATTGATTCAGTTTTGGCAAGCGATCATCGTCCAACTCCTCAAACAGTTCAGCCATTCCCCACTACCACCGAAACTCCTCTTCCGCTTGATTTCTGGATTTCCGGTAAAGCAGCATGGGAATGTGTGGACTATACAACGTAATGTAAACGTTTCGAACAGTTTTGATCGGATGAATTGAATGCAATTTTCAGCTGCTCACATTATGTCAACACTGTTAGAGTCTGCTATGATCCAATCTCTGAGGATCCTATTGCCCAAAGTTATGTAATCTGTGCTCTCGTCGTCTTCACACCAACAAGTATTGATCAATTATTTTGAGGGATGTTTTTATGTTGAGAAAGTGTAGTGTTAATAAATACCTCATCATCACAGTTACGAACTTGACCAAGCACAGTGTTTGCAATGCTTCATAGTCAGCTCTACATATACTGCGAGGCCATTCCCGATCATAGAAGCTGTTTTGTGTAATTATAGATCGTTCACCCTTGGGCGGAAGTGGTGTAGTGACAAGTGGCGCGCTTACCACGCGAGCGGTCCGGGGATCAAATCCTGGGTCGTGAGTCGCCCGGGCCAACCAAGCCTTCCATCCCTCCGGGGTCGGTTAATTGGTACCAGACTTGTCTGGGAGGATAAAAACACTGACTTGTACATCGGCTGGCCCCCGCAAGTCATTGTATAGGCCACATCGCATTCAAACGCCACTACGAATGTACAAATGGAAGTAGAATGCGTGCCGCATCCCAAAAAGGGATTGATCAACGGCAAATGCTTTATCCTTTATCCTTTATCCCCCCCTCCTCCCCCCCCCCTCCTTCAATCGAGACTGCTGTTGGCATTGGTACGATCAGGGTGGTCGATGAAATAAATAAGGAGACGGAATCTCAATCGCAACAGGCGATTTTTATACGTCGTTCCCAAGCGATATACATGAAACTTAAAAATAGTGAAAACTGTGGCTCGCCACTCAACTTCAGCCGATTGAACAAGGAGTGAAGAAGTCTTATTCGCGGATTTTTATGAGAGAGTCTCACGGACTCGAGCACCCTGTTCTCAAGCACCTTATCTCTAAACTGTAACCGCCTAAATATTGCTTCATGAGTGGGCAGGGTGCTTAGTCACTTTGAAGACCAACGCATCCAACCATTCCAAGTGTTCCCACTTCAGAACCTTCTCCTCGTCTTTTTTCTCTTGTAAGTGAGCAAGTGATTCACTGTCCTCTGTTGTGTTGTGATTCATCAGAAGAGCCATTATATCCTTTGCCCAATTGACGTAGTCACGCTATGCAGAAGTTTTGAAAATAAAGGTAAGGCACACAGCTCGTTCAGGACGAGAAGTAACCAGACTTCAACGACTTTTCGGCACACTGAAGAATAATAATTCGGCGCTAGAACTATGAACGGCTCCCACAGACGTTTCAACCCGACCTCTCATCCTGCAATCATTTGGCGACTTCACGACTGTAGCGCAGGCGCAGGTGGTATCGCTCCGAACAAGTGCGATATTCGTAATCAGGGAGTCGGACTCTCCCTTTGAGCAAACTTCTAGCGAATTCTGAAATTTTGACCTAACCTCGAAAATTTGGGCAGTCACTTACTCACCGATCCACCAATCCATTACAAAAGGCTGGCACTTGGGTAGAATAAACCTTTTAAACACTTTTCATAATAGACAAAAATTGTGTCTGGCTTGCCCGTCTGCAAGATCTCAAAGGCATTATTTGAAATACAACCCCTTCTCTCCCCTCCCCCGTCGTCCATGATTGGTCAACCCAAAAAAGTGGAGTTTGAGGAGTGGTAATCCCATCACTGCTCCGCTTTTTCTCAATTAGTTCATGACCTCAGATTTGGCGAAAACTCGTTTTTAGGGGTAGTTTGATCCCCTGAATACGAATATCGTACCTACTTGCCACGGAAAAGCATAGCACCTGCACTACGGGCACCATGGCACTCACAGACAAGTAGTGCTTAAACTTTAAGAGGATCTGCTTGCAAACTCTTCGTAGATGTAGCGTCGGGCGACCATTGATAAAATAACGGATTCAAAAAGGCTTTTCAGCCATGTTGAAAAAAAGCAAAACACCAAACTCGAGGGAACCGAACCCGCAACCCCTTGCTTGAGAAGCGAGACCCCTACCAACTGCGCCATCGTAGCTGAACACACTGGTTCTTGGTGTCTTTTATAATGGAGCTCACACATGATTGCAGGCAAGGTACTGAAAATCAGAGGCGGCAACAAAAACCTTCGTAACTCCTTTCAGAGAAGAGTTTAGCAGATAACGAAAGCAGATTTGAGCTCAGCGTCTCATGATGCGTTCAGAAATATTCTTTAGGCCGGGTTGGCCTAATGAACTTTCCTGGTTAGACAATGTTCCATATCATCATAGATCAAGTAGTGGAGGTGGTGTAATGGCAAGTGGCGCTACTTATCACATCCGGGGATCGAATCCTGCATCATGCTTCACCCCAGCCAACCGAGCCTTCCATATTTCCGAGGTCGGTTAATTGGTACCAGACTTGTCTGGGAGGATAAAAACACTGACTTGAACATCGGCTGGCCCCCGCAAGTCATTGTATAGGCCACATCGCATTCAAATGCCACTGCGAATGTACAAATGGAAGTAGAATGCGTGCCGCATCCCAAAAAAGGGATTGATCAACGGCAAATGCTTTATCCTTTTTATTGCCCTTAATCAAGAATCCTTCACCCTTGACAAAGAGTCTGATGTTTGGCATCGACACGATCCGGAGTGGATGACGAAATGAAGGAATACCCTCCTTCAAAAAACGAGAAGAGCGTCGGGTGCAGACCATACACCACAAGTGACGACGGCCTCCACAAAATGTAAATGTTTTCTGCCAATGAAATGATTAGCCTGTTGCAGTTGTATTCTATCAGTTGTCACTAATTACAACTATCATTTACCAAAATCAGCTATCACTATGAACCACTACTAACCAGATTTACTTGGAGGCCGTCGTCACTTGTGGTGTATGGTCTGCACCCGACGCTTTCTCGTATTTTGAAAGAGAGGGTAGACAGAATCGCTCGGTCGCAACACTCTCAAGCGGGATAAAATTAGCTCGAAAATTGCAAGTACAACTATAAAAGGTGAAAACCAAACAGAAGTCGTGTGAACGATTCCCTTCGGTCTGTAGTATAGACCCCTAGAGGACAATCACAAATGTGGCGTTCCCGTGCACGGAAACCAAAGAGCGCTTGGGCCTTGCAAAGTAAGCTGCTGAAGCTGCAGATTTTTTCTCTTATCAGGCTGTTGTCTGGCGCTCTCTCGCCTCATACTCTCCTCTCCGCGCTTAGTCTCTCATTCCCTTAGCACAGCCGATTAGAAGGTGAGTGAGCCCTTAACCTACAGCATTTTCGATTTTCCTTTTTTCTTTACTGCGCACGAGTACATTCATATCCTCATCGAGAACCACATTTGATTTCGATCCTGGAGCATGCCTTTAGACCGTTGTTATTGTGTTCTTTTTACTTCCGATGGTGGAAACTTTGTTCGGCAATGTTTCCACCTTGATGCAGGGTCAACCGTCACGTTTGGACCAATTTCGAAAATTTTACGACCCCCCTCCCCCTTCTAGAGGGCCTCGATACGACCCCCCCCTCAGGGTTAACCCTTCACGACCATCCTCCACCACCCTCGCCTGCCATCGCCATCATGGGGGCGATTCTATAGTATTGATTCTGAGATCAGTCGACACAGCAACTCCGCCCACTTTTCCCTCCAAAATTGCCGTCGAGGGGGGGGGGTATATCAATGTGAAACGGCAAAATTTTCGCTCAACCCAAAAGCCCAGCCTACAATAATCCACTCTCCGTTCCATAAAAAACATCCCTTCCCTTACTGTAACATTGACGCTACCTCCTCGCGAAATACGACCCCCCCCACCCCCTTGTTGCACTTTGTCCAACGGACGGTTGACCCTGCCTTGATGTCGTTTTCAAAAGTCTCAGGTTCTACTGCTGGGATCCAGTAAGGCTACATTTGACTATCATTATTCTTCTACGAGTCGCAGTATGATTACCCAACCCAGCGAATGGACGGCCTAGTAGGCCTGATCGGGATTTGAGCCGGAATTGCAACTCGGATCGTGCCCATGGCATGGCACGCGACGTCATCAATCAGTACTTCAGCTCTTCGCCTAACGTACGTAAAAAGATAAAAATGCTATTTGTTGACTGCACATAAGAACACAAGAATGCAAGATTCATTTCAACAAGTGCAACGATTGCTTTTAAGAAAGAAGTCACAGCAGACGCCCATGCATGAAATACTGGGGTACTTCATGGGACTTTCCCTCGCTCTATAAGTGAAGAAGTCCTCCACCTGAAAAAAATATCCATAGTTCTAGCCTTAA